AAAAAAACATTATCAAGAGTTAAGAAAACAATATCAAGTTAGAAATATCTTATATCAAAGAGAAATATCAAGTTAGAAATATCAACAAAGAGAAATATCCAAGTGTTAGGCAATATCTAAGAGTTGAAACCATCTTTGTTCTTCCTTGTTCTTCCATCCATCCATACCATACAAGAGCTTGAACTTGGATCTTGATTTAAGAATTGAAAATCATACTTAAACTTGAGGGTGCTTTGGAATCAAGTTTGATTTACAACAAGAACACTTCTCTACAAGAGGTAAAGCTTCCTTACTTTCATTTCAATCTTTGTTCATCTTTTTCTTGTGTTTTCATATTATTTTGGTACTATTTTGGGACTGGTTTGAGGGCTGAAATTTGTGATTAAAAGCTACCCAAAGGTGGAGGGGTTAATTACCCATCTTTGAACCTTATTCCAAGCTTGAATCCTTGTGTTTCCCACTTGTTTTCGCAAAATTTTTCCACTGTTTTGGGGCTGATTTGGGACTATTTTTGGGCTGTTTTTTAACATCAAAACTATGTGATTTGAAGTTGTAAAAGTGGAGGGGTTAGCCACCCCTCATTCTACTTGTTTACTAACTTGATCCTATTTAATTTTGCTCGCTTTCTATAGCTTAATTTCAGCACTATTGTATGCTATTTAGGGGGCTGTTTAATTTATTTTAATGATTTATGTTTTAAATATCAAGTTTGTTTGTACTAACCAATTAATCAACTTCGCATAATCATCTCTGCAACCTTCTTCCATTCTTTGCTTATTTCGATTAAAAAGTTGTGAAAAATTAAGATTGTGGTTCAAGTATAAGAAAGGAACTCTTCTATGCTTAATTGTTTAATCTCTTCGGAGGTTCATTACCAAAGGTATAAAATGCTCTATGCTTAATGGTTTAATCTCTTTGGAGATTCACTACCAAAGGCATAAAACGTTTTATGCTTAGGAGGTTCATTACCAAATGTATAAAACGTTCTATACTTAATTGTTTAATCTCTTTGGAGATTCACTACCAAAGGCATAAAACGTTTCATGCTTAGGAGGTTCATTACCAAAAGTATACAACATTCTATGCTTAGTGATTTAACCTCTTAGGGGATTTACTACCAAAGGCATAAAACGTTCTATACTTAACGGTTTAAATTCTTTGGAGGTTCACTATCCCAAATGTATACATGTTCTTATACTAAAGCACAATTTTTTATTTTTCATTTCTTTTTATTCATCAGTGTGTTTACTTTTAAGGGACTAATTGACCCTTGGAAATCACCAAGGAAAGTGTCATTATCAAATATTATCAAGTTTGGATGTCAAGTCATTATCACTCAAGTTTGGGTTTTTCTAAGTCATTATCACTCTTTTGAGTTTGACTAGTCCTTGTTGCACATCTTAAGTTTGACTTGGAATCCCTTATCGCTTGTAAATAAGTTTGACTCTTCCTTTGTAATTTCCCCCAAAGAAAATAAAATTTGTTTCTCGGGTTATGTTGATACTTGTTTCTCTTTATTGCGTTTTGGACTTAGTGGACGTAAATATCACTTTTGCACAAACAGGAGAAAAGATAAAGAAATGGAAAGGTAATAAAAAAGGCTAATAAAATTGGTTAAAATTGGATTACAACCGACATAAAGAACCAATATGATTAATTGAATTCGGTCGGACGTTATACCGAGTTTATTGTGTCCAGGCTTGTCTTACATCAATTCATAATAATTTGATGAATCTTGAAGTGTCTCTGCTTCCCTTCTTGAATTCACTTCATGATAGGAGGGAGGGGTGGTTGTTTATTCATTGCATTTATTGATCATTGTCCAAATTGTATCCGAGATCATTAAGCAATCAACTTGCTAATTGATGGTTTTGGAGATGTTTCCCACCCTCTCTTGAGTATTTTTATGATAGAGAAGGGTAAGAAAAAAAAAAAGACAAACATGGCTAGGAATACCCTGTCTGCACTGTTTCACCTCAGGTACAAAAAACAGATTTCCACAAGAAAACAAAGTATTGGATTTATTTGGGGCTCGACTGAGTCGCATTTTGGGGCCAGCAAGGCTCCAATAAATTGCAAAACAATACACTTTTGGTGGAAAGCAGTAACTAGGGGTGAAACAGAACAAATCCCAGCAAGGCAAACAGAATGATTCCTGAGGAGCATCGAGCAACCATTGCATATTATTATTGTAATAAATTAGACATCCCCTTTCATTTATTATTCATTCGGCTTTGTAATAATTATTTGTTTGGACATTTGGACATTCGAACCCTCATTCACGAGGACAAATATGTAATAAGTTGTATGTCTTCCAACCCCCATTCTTTCTCCCTTTTATTTCACTGCTTATGATTGTTAGATTAGGGACATCATATTTAATTAGCATTTTCCATGATTTGCATCCATTCGTTTACATGCATAAAAGTTCGGCTCATCATATTATTCAAATGTCAAATTCAAACTTCTTACTTGCATACATGCGTTATTACAAGTCTTGAATTGACTCACATGCCATACTAGTAGCCGAACCTTAATTGCACGTTGCATGTGTTGCATTAGTCATTAAATTAGGATCATACATTTTTTTTCTAACTATTTGCTTTCTTTTTGGACTCGCCTTCAGACATTAAGGTAAGCATTTTTGCTTAAGCATATTGCATAAGTGTGAATGCTGTCATATCAAACATACTATCATGAGGCTAACTGCTTATTTGATATACCTGTTTGAATACCTGTGGATGAAGGCTAATCACTTGAATTGGGATACTTTGATTCATGTATATATGAGATCACCACTTTAAGTGATACATATTCAAAGCACTTTTGTTTCAAAACAAACATGAAATCAAACGTTCCAACTTTTCGTGAAATTAGTCTATACTTGTATGTTACATATAGAACAAGAGCATATACTGTTCATAAAAACCACATCTTGATTAGTAGAGGCCGATCTTTGATCGGGTGAGTGGGGTGTTCAATTATTGACCTTCCCCTCTCATACCTAAGTTCCTGAACCAAGACACTTTGGTAACGACGGACTAATGGCCTTTGACACGAGTCATGGGTTTCCTAAATTTCCCAAAGTAAATATTTAGGTGGCAACTCTAGTATTTGGCAAAGCAGTCCATTTTTGGCATTTGATTCAAACATCGATTTTCCAAAAGAAATTGCCGGATTTGGACTCTTTTTGTGTTTTCACTGTTTCACATTGCACTTGTGAAATCAGAATCAGAACCAACACAAGTAGAGTTCGAATTGTAATGGCTATTCATTCTTTCGAAAGGGAGCGCAAAAAGTCGAGCTATAATTTCTGGCGACTTTGCCTAGGGAGTTAGAGAACTTGACTCAAACTTCATGATGTGAAATTTTATCTACATAAATATGCTTTTTGCATTGCATTTGCATTGGTGCGCCTAAGTCCCTGTGTTTGCCATTTGTTATTCCTAGACAGTTTGCTGGAGGCTTGCCTACAAAGCTTGCCAAAAGGCTAACCGGTCATAGGCTCTATCAAGTTGGGAACACAATCCTTGGATCTAGATTACTGCTGTACTGCTTGATCCTCTTTTCACTTCTCGATGTTAGGTGTGAGAGGTATATTAGGTAGTCTTGCTGAGGTACCCTTTGTAACTATTTGACCTAATGCATATAGTACGCTCTAGTGACTATTCAAATTAGGACAGGATGTTACCTGTACAGGATGTTATGAAACCACTTGCTTGAAATAGTGCAACCTAGATCATGTCAAAATCTAGAACAAGATAACCCTACCTCCTCTAGGGGTGTTTTGGTTCTTTTTATGTGGTATGTGCTTTTACAGTGAAATATACAGGGTGGTTCATAGCGGTGGTACAAATGAGCAATCAATCTGAGAACAAAGTTCAGTGGGGATCACAGTTCAACTGCGTGTTGTGATTAATTAAGAATTGAGGCCGAAATGTTGTTCGTTTTTTTAAAATATGTTTTCTTTCTTTCTTTTTGCTAGATAGTTTTTCATCATAGCTTCAGAAAGACTTGATATCCCCTGAGTTGTTTGGAATCGTTCTCATAGGCTTTGTAAAAAGCAAGATCTTGTTGACGGTCAGCCAGTGTTACTTTCTCTCCCGCCGGTTGCTTGACGAAGAAAGAATAGACAGTCAGCATCAGTACCAAGCACTCAGCAAACTCCTGTTCACTCACCAGCATCTAATTTATCCAGTCCAACAATGGCATAGAACCCAGCACAAAACACAGAAGAAGTTGCTGCCATGATGGCAGCAGTCCAAAAGACCATGGATACGGTCAACCAACGAATGGTCGCACAGGATGAAGTCATCGCTGAACTGCGATGCCCATCTGGGACATCTGCATCTACTGTACATCCGGTCCCGGCTGCCCAGCCAAATCCTAATCTCTCTCCACCACTGGAAACTCCTCAGGTCCCAGATCCTCAAGAGATGTTTCCAACAGCTTCAGCTTACAGACCTCCGGTACAACCTCCTACGGGAACCATTCCCTTCGATATGAATGAAGTTGATCCAACCATGATCAAAATTGCCAGGCTTGAGAAAGCCTTGAAGAAATCCCAGGGTTTCAATTCAATTCCCGACATTGAGGATGGGTACACTGAGGCTTCAGTCAGGTCGCCAGAAAAATTCAAAATGCCTCACATCGATAGATTTGATAGGAGCGGGGATCCGATTGTACATGTCCGCCTGTTTTTAGATGTGTTGAGGCCTATGGGTTTATCCAGGGCACAAAAACTCTCATTATTTAGGAGAACCCTGTTAGATGTAGCGGGCATCTGGTATGCCAAATTGGAGGACTCAACGAAATGGAATTGGAAAGAACTGTCTGAGGGGTTTGTTAACCAATACTCATACAATACTCAGATAGAAGTAACAATGAGTGAACTGGAAGCAACCACTCAGAACCCTAAAGAACCCTTCATTGACTTTGTGACAAGATGGAGGGCAAAGGCAGCCAGAATGACGAGCAGACCTTCTGAAAAAGAACAAGTCAGGTTAGTGGTCCAAAACCTCGAGCCAGACATGTTGCAAAGAATGATAGTGGCACCGTCGCCCACATTTGCTTCCTTACATGAGTTAGGGGTTCAAATTGAGAGCGCCTTCGAAAAGGGCATCATCCACAGAACAAGTGAACCTGTAAAAAAGCCATTCACTCAGAGTACCAATGCTAGTACTAGCACTCTTCCGCAGCCTGTAGATGTCAATATCATTGCTACATCATCGGCTAAGATGGTCGATCCCTTTGCTGCTGCCACAAACTCACAAACCGCACAAAATAGTCAACCTTGGAACTGAAGACCTTTTACCCCCCTTCATATGAGTCCAACCTGCGCCCTCAAGGTGTTGATGGACAAGGGGCATCTCAAGCCTCTTGATCCTCGCCCTCTCCCAGACCCACTGCCAGCTAGACACGACCCAACCCAATATTGTACTTTCCACCAACAACATGGCCATCATACAGATTCATGCTATCGTCTACGTCATAAGATTTAGAATCTCATTGACAACAAAGTCATCGCCCCTCCTAAACCAAATGTGACAACCAACCCACTTCTTACACATAACCAAGTTCCTCCCCTCAGAAATATTAACCACATCCAAACACTACCACCTACCTTCAACCCAAGCATATATATTACCTCGTCCTACCTACCGAAACCGGAGGTGGTTATTCCAAAAGGCACGAATATGTGCATGTTAGATCTAGCCCTACAAATCCAACCCAAAAAGGTTGTGGCAGGAACAGAGAAAGAGGAGAGTGCATTAAAGACAAGGTTATCTGATACATGTGTCATAGAAAAGGGGGCTTCGCTTGCAGAGGAGTATGACCCCAGTTTATACACTGTGGCCATTGATCAACCAAAACCAGTGGTCCTACTGTTGGATGTTCTCAATGTCAATGCTATCGGGGAAGGCTAGTTAGGGCAACATCAGAACAATTGGCCTGAACAAGGCCTAAATGACTTGGCCGAACTAGAAGAAGATCTAGTTCAGATAGAAGAAGACCTAGCCAACCTCTACTTCTTTGAAGAAAAGGAAACAAGCAGTGTCCAGATAGGCTGGTTGGATTCAAATCAACCGAAAACAAACAACGGTTGGTTTGGTGATGAAGAACTAGATGAGGTGGAACAGACAAAAGGGGTTAGGGAGGAAAAGGCCGAGACTATATCCATTACTAGTACAGAACAAGTGCTGGAACAATTCCAGCAGGAGAGAATGCAAGAAATTCAAAGGAAGATGGCCTTGCCAGAAACCACAACCATAGTTAGAAAGGAAAGGTATGTTACTGAGGGGTGTGGTGTGAACATGCTCCAAGTAGAGTCTGATAAAAGCTTAGCAATGACTACTGGAGAGTGGTGGGAAGATAATGATCTCAGTCATGCATACACAGACAAAGGGTGGAAATCCAATACCCCCGACGATACGTGGTATATGGACGAAATCAATCACATGACCCGGAGTGGTCGGTACTTCAAACCTGCAGCTGTAGATCAACCAGAATCCTCTAACAAAGAGGTTGATAACACTAGAGAGAGGGACTATGAAGACAACCTGGTTTTGAAATAGCTCAAGAAGATTCAGGCATATATCTCAATTTGGGGATTGATAATGGCTTCCCGGGAGCATAGACAAGCATTGCTAGAGGCAATGAATCGCACCAAACTGCTTATCGACACTACCGCTGATCAACTGGTGTCATTAGTCACATCCGGTGATGTTACGCCAGTGATATCTTTCACGAATAAAAAGCTGCCACCTGAGAGTGCCAACCATAACCGGCCCCGTGTATGTAACTCTGAAGAGCCGAAAGAAGTGGATTCCGGTAGTGTTAGTAGATACTAGATCGGCGATCAATGTGTGTCCGGCACAGACTGCTTATGCCATAGGTTTGAGGCTTGTTGACTTCACACCCACAACTCAAGCCGTCCGAGCTTATGACAATACAGGCCAGGATGTCATGGGAACATTCAAGAGCCATATCCTGATCAGCCCGTCCGAACATGAGGTAGAATTCCATGTAATGGATGTTCCGGCTACCTTCAATCTATTGTTGGGAAGGCATTGGCTGTATCAAATAAAAGTTATGTCATCAACCGTCCATCAGTTGGTGAAATACCCCTTCAAATGTGGGATTGCTACGGTGTATGGTAATTCATTGATCCACCCTCCCCAGGGAACTGCCACACCAGTGATGGAAATCATATACGGGGAAGAAGATGTATTCCTCTCTGGCTTCTCACTAACAGAAGCCCGGGTAATCCAATCTATCATGGCAGAAGCTGACGGAATCTATGTGAGTGATCAGTCCATCTATATGATGAACAAACAGGGGCATATGCCTGGATTAGGACTAGGCAAGAGTGGCAAGCACGGAGGTGCTGCTACCAAGGAGCTGATTCACAAGCCCCACGCTTTTGGGCTAGGATACCAACCTACTGCTAAGGATTGGCAAAGGAAGTAGACTGAGTTGAGAGGAAGAATTAAAGCCAAGAATGATGGAAAACAATATGAGTTAGTTCACAAACCAATACAAGGAACCTTGAACGGACGCTTTGTTCGCCAAGGGGAAAATTTCCCCTTTTGTGGATTTCCAGAGCCTTAGTTTGACCAGGAGACGAAGACAATCTATCCCGGGTTCGAGATCTTCTTCAGGCACCAGTTACCAGAAGAGGAAGATGAGCAGATGGACCTGAGTACTAATACAGGTCAAGGCAGGACCGTAACTGTGAACGTTGAAGAAGAAGAGCTGTTGGGAAAAACACTGACTGACCTACTAGCAAATTCTACTATCAGAACTGAGTTTGACAACTTAGGAGATAGTTTTACTGTCTTAATGATCGGGGATAAACCAGAAGTGGATTTCTCTAAACTTATTGTGGATGCATCTGAGGCTCCACACCTAATTTGGAAATTTGAAAAGGACATCATCAGCATTTCTGAATCAGATAATAAGTCCAAATCTGATTCCATCGAGTCTGTAGAGTCAGAGTCAGATTCGAGTTCTTTTGAGTTTGGTACTTCCGGGAGTGGTAACCCGGGTGCCAAAGTTCTGTCAAAGTCTTCTTTTAGTTTTTCTTTTGAGTCAACTATAACCGAGGACCCAGACTTTACTAATGGGAATGTCGTAGAGTTTGCTTACTTCTCTGTGCCTTTAGTTTGTTGCACTGATCTTAATTTTCAAAATTTTTACTTAAACGAAGAGGAAGAAATTCCTTGGGCTTTGAAAAATTTGGTTGACCAAGAGGAGGAGAGGCGCGTTAAACCCTGCACAGATGAAATCACTGCAATTAATGTGGGTACTGAGGAGGATTCCCGTTTGGTCCAGATCGAATCCACGTTGTCTTCGGTGGAACGCGAGCATTTAATCACTTTATTAAAAGATTTCAAAGATGTTTTCGCGTGGTCCTATGAAGACAGGTCTAGAATAGATCCTGAGATTGTACAGCACCGGATCCCTCTTAGTCCCGAGGCCAGACCAATCAAACAGAAACTGTGCAGAGTTCGCCCAGATTGGGCATTAAAGATCAAAGAGGAGGTCAGCAAACAGATTGATGCAGGTTTCTTGATGGTATCTGAATACCCGACTTGGTTGGCTAATATCGTTCCGGTTCCAAAGAAGGACGGCAGAATTGGGGTCTGCGTCAACTTCCGGGATCTAAATAGAGCAAGTCCAAAAGATGATTTTTCATTGCCACACATCGATGAACTGGTAGACTTCACAGCTGGCCATGCTTTGCTTTCATTCATGGATGTGTTTTTCGGGTATAATCAGATTTCGATAGCACCAGAGGACAGAGAGAAAACTGCTTTCACCATGCCGTGGGGTACCTACTGTTATAGAGTTATGCCTATTGGACTGAAAAATGCCGGGGCTACATATCAACGGGCCGCAACCACCATTTTGCACAACATGATCCACAAGGAGGTTGAGGTGTATGTGGACGATATGATTGTCAAGTCTAAAGAGCGAGGAGCTCACTACACCGCACTAGAAAAATTCTTTGAGCGGATCAAGGAGTATAGGCTAAGGTTAAACCCACAGAAAAGCACCTTCGAGGTAACTACAGGAAAAATGTTTGGATTTCTGATTACACAAAGGGGAATTGAAGTAGATCTCTCCAAAATCAAGGCCATCGTAGAAATGCCACCACCAAGGACTGAAAAGGAGGTGCATGGCTTTCTGGGTAAGGTGTAATTCATAAGACGGTTTATCTCAAAATTAACCTTGACTTGTGAACCACTGTTTGGTCTATTGAAGAAAGGAAAGAAATTCCAAAGGGATGATCGGTGTCAGTCCGCCTTCGAGCAGGTTAAGTAATACCTTCAGAATCCTCCTGTATTGTCGCCACCAGAACCGGGGAAACCACTGATCTTGTATTTATCAGTAACAAATTCAACCATGGGGTGCATGCTAGCACAAGAATCAGAAACGAAGGTGGAGAAGGCCATCTATTATCTAAGCAAGAAGATGCTAGAATATGAAACTCGCTACACTCCTCTTGAGAAAGAAACGAGGAAGTTGAGACACTTCTTGTTAGCTCATTCAGTAATTCTGGTTTCGAGCTTAGATCCCATCAAATATCTCTTTGAGAAACCAGCACTTACGGGTAAGCTAGCTCGTTGGTTGCTTCTTCTCTCCGAGTTTGACCTCAAGTATGTCACGCGCAAATCAGTCAAAGGGAGAGCTATAGCGAAATTTCTGGCAGATCACCCAATAGAAAGAGATGATGAAACAAAGGAGTATCTATTCCCAGATAAAGACATTCTGCAGATAAAAGAGGAACCATGGACAATATACTTTGACGGAGCGTCTAATCAGTATGGTTATGGGATCGGTGTGTTGCTCATAGCACCCGATGATTCACACATACCTCTAGCCTTCAAACTTCGGTTTAAAGTATCTAACAATGAAGCAGAATACGAAACGTGTATTGCTGGTTTGGAAACTGCCCTAGAACTAAGGGCAATAAGATTGGAAGTTATCGTAGATTTGAATTTGATTGTGTCTTAAGCTAACGGAGATTGGCGGGTTAAGGAAAAGAAACTGTAGGTTTATCATCAGGCCCTGGATGTGTTAATTCCAAGGTTTAAGAAATTGACGTTTACGCATTTGCTAAGAGAGAACAACCGATTTGTTAATGCGTTGGAAACTTTATCCTCCATGGTGGACATTCCGCTTGGAGTGAATATGCGCCCGATCATCATTAAACAGAAGCATACGTCGGCGTATGTTACCATTGCCGTGATAGATGAGCTTCAAGACACGAACCCCTAGTATTACGACATCTGGAATT